AAAAGGGGTATGGTGGGGCCAGGCACCCTCGCAAGGCATTTCCCACTTGAGCCGCTGGCCCCTCGCCACTCATGCCCCCCTGGATTTCTTTCAGGGAACCCCACTCACGCAGTCAAAAGCACGGGGACATTCGTGGGGAAAATCCGTCTTGTGCTCGCAGGCCGCGCAGCTCGCCTGGGCCAAGAAGCTGGTGCAGGAGCGGTTTTTGCAACCGGATCCGAGTCGAGGTGCTTGGACCATTTGGGTGCGGCTCAAGATTAAACAGGGGACCGCAGGTTCTGATCCATGTTTCCACTTACCGCAACCCATTTTGGAATTCCGCTCCTTTGGGCCACAGCCATTTGAGTGGAAAACACACCGTTTGTGTTCGTTTCTTGCCATCTCACTCAGGAAATGAGTGGCGATGCTCCCAAACCCTTGAGTTTGTAACAAAAGGACTGACACAAATCCGGCATCCCCTTGGCATGTTTTCGAGCCACGCAAGGGAAAGTGAGCAGCACTTTGGCTTTTGCAGCTTTTCAGCAGCTTTCCTGTGGGGTTGGTGTCCCAAAGTTCCGCAGAATGCCTTCTTCCACCCAGGCATTTGGCTGATTCTCTTGAAGAGGATAATCAAAGTGGTCATATACAGGAAGATCAAGGCAATTTGTGGGTGAACCTCCCAGTGGCAACAGGCAGCAAACAGGGCATCACTTTTTAAGCAGGCGGCAAAGATCATTGCCAGGTGTGTGAAGTAGAAATACGGCCAAAACATCCCGCTTGCCCGCGACGTCTGCGACCGCCCCCGCCCCGACCCTTAAAAACGTGGCAGGCGTGGGAGCTTGTAGACCTGTGTGTGGTGAACTCCCTCAAAAACTTGGGGGTCGAAGCCTGGATTTGGAGCACCCTGTCTTGGGTTTAAACCCTACACCCTCAACCCTAAGCCCTAAAAACCCCAAACCTAAACCCTAAAAACCCTAAACTTACATCCTAACAACCCTAAACCTAAACCCTAAAAACCATACACCTAAACCCTAAAACCATAAACCTAAACCCTAACAACCCTAAACCTAAACCCTAAAAACCCTAAACCTAAACCCTAAAAACCCTAAACCGAAACCCTAACAACCCTAAACCTAAACCCTAAAAACCCTAAACCGAAACCCTAACAACCCTAAACCTAAACCCCAAAGGCAGCGGCAGACATCCCCATAAAGATGCTTGTGGGCGAGCCGCGTGTTTTGTGGGTAGAAATACAGAAAAAAATCGCAAAAGTACCCTTCCTCCCACAAACGTACCAGTGGGAGGGCGCCTGTAAGATGAACTTTGCCAGGTGCCATGTTAGTGGGAATGGTAGCAGTGAGAGACCTTCCCAAGGACTTGCGTCCTTTCAGTTCTCTGATCAGGGGGGTTGTCCTACAATTGCTGACGTGGAAAGATGTTGAAGAACCCGAAAGCAACACGCCGTTGGCGTTTGTTGTGCTTAGTGGCTTAGGCCCCCTGGAAACTCAACCTCCTGTACTGTGCTCCAAAAATGACTGGTTTCCTGTCAGTTGCCACGTTACGCTACCAGAAGTGGTTGCCAACGCGGAATGCCCAGCTTGACAAGAGCTCCTTTTCAGCGTGCGCGCGCACCTCGTCGCGTTCCAGGTGGGCAATCTCTACGTCGCTGGCTCGACCTCGAATGGGTCGGTTGGTTTACCGTGGCTTCAGGACCTTCACACAAAGCCGCTGTTGCTCGGATTTCTGTTTTTATTTGGAGCATTGCCCTTTTTGAGTTTGTTTTCAGGGGAGACCAAAAGGAAAGTGGCCATTTTGGGGGGCGGCGGCCTCGATTGACCGTCGCATGCGTAGAAAATCGGTTTGGTTTCCTGTGGCTCCCTGACATCGTTTTCGCAAACATCTCCACGCATCGCGACTCGCCCTAAAGGGCAGTCAATCAAGGGACAGGTGGGATTTTCCGGTCGTTCCGATTGCATTCCAAGCTTGACGTTGAGCAATGTGCGTGGAATACAAGTGTACGTGAAGAGGCTTTTTCTAGTTTTGGTTTGAGGGAAGACATGGGGGGGCAAAATACCCGCAAAGAGCAGGCCAACCCAATTTTCCCATGTCCTCTTTGGGGCTCAGATCATCCACGCTACCCAGGTCATGAAGGGGCGCTACCGCGAGATTGCGGAGGAGCAATCGCCCTAGGGAGCTGTCGCCGAGCTTTGAGTGTAAGTTTCTTGGGAAAGAGGGGGGATTTCTTGAAAGCCCCGGCTTTGCATGTGAAAATATTGAAATTTACTGTTATTGTTGCCTGAATATGCTGGCTCCATCCGGCTGTTTCACGTGGTTGAGTGAATTCTGTTTAGGAGCATTCCGTTTTTGTGAGGAACCCTCGGTTGTGCTGCAGGTAACCCTGCGCGTCAGCTTTGTGTAAGGTACAGAAACATGCCGGTTGGAACTGATGATCTGATTTGTCTCTCCCCGCCGCTCCCCAATTGAAGCAATGCGCAGATCGCTGTGACATGATACACCGAGCGGTGACTATGTGTCCACCCCACCGAGTGAGGAACTTGCGGTGAAGCTTGCGCACAGCACAGAATTCGCCACTTGATGCGCTGCAACTGTGTCTCGAGAGGAACACACCGGAAAGCTGGGCCCCTGCATGTTCTGTGGTTCTCAAAATGTGTGTTGGCGCTACATATTAAATCTCCATTTCGAGGATAAACCGGAGGATGTCACTTGTCTGGACCCCGTAAATTGCTAGCTTGCGTCTCCTGGCCGCTGTCAGGCCAAGAAGCCTGATCTTTGAGAAAGCATTGCTGAAACTGTTGCTTAGTTTCTGCAAGAGTGTTGCCGCAGGAAGGCAAGTGTTGTGTGCATGTCAGAGCAATAATTGTCAAAGACGAGGGAAGGAGGGCAGGTGCCATTGTCATGCCTGCTTCAGATGAATGAACCATTCCGCCTGCCTCACAAGCTTATTGTTGTGATTCATCCATTCCAGGTGCGGACTCCTCTGATTTGCGCGTTCCCTTCATTCCGGAATAAATTTATAGACCAGGGGATTGCTTCTAACTAAGATCCCCAGCCAGTTCGGAACCCTGGAAGGCCGAGTGAAAGGCCGGTGGCGGTTCCAAGGCTGGTGGATGATTGCTACGTGGCTGGCCCAGACTGGGCGGGGGCGCAGGATATGTGTGTTCTCGGTGCCCCAACAAAAAGCCGGAGCGCAGTACAAACCGGTATCATCAAAGCTTGCACAAAAACAAAACAAGTGCTGGAGCCGTGTCAGAGGGGAGGCTGAATCAATTCAGTCATGATCTGGCTAGGCGTTCGAGTTCGGGGGAAGCGTCGATCACGTCAGATGTGTCGCAGATCTCAAGCAACGGTTCGGGGTCAAGGCCAAGGGGTTCCATGTGTGCTCATTCTTCTTCTTCTTCTTTTTTTCTGACCACAGGACGCCGATTGTTTGATCTTCCATGTTTCCATGTTGCTTCACACCCGAGGCATACAGCGTTCGGCCTGTGCTGTTCAAGCCGGCCGAGGCTCACCCGAGAGAGATCTGGAAGAAGCGGAATTTCGGGATATCCCATCCCGGGCTCTTCGGAAGCCAGAGCACCAAACCTGTGAGGCGAACTTGTTTCAACTGCATTCCTCTTCTTTGATCAGAGCGCCATATGCCAGGCCCACCTGATACCTTTTCGGACCACGAGGGTCAGAGCCTCAGACCGCAAGCGACGTACGGCAAGGATCTCGGAGATGGTCCATCGATGGGAGAGGCTCTCATATAACCTAGATAACGATTTGGATGCGGCGCATTTGTGCATTCACCCCTGCAGAATATTAAGAGAGTACTAAAGGATTACTAAAGAAGAACCAACAGGGGCAACACGGGGGAAATCCTCAAAAAATCGCGCATCCAAACTGGTTGCTAGATAGAAGGTTGAGGCTCGATTGTGGTCTATTAGTTGGAGCATAGGATGGGCCCAGATGATTTGAACCTAGTAGGACCTGGTGTTGAGCCATGAGAAGCTGAGTTGGGAGTCTGTGTTCCATGATTCGCTGGAGTGGCATTTTGTCAGATGTGTCCAGAGCGACAAGAGTTCTGGGAAACAACTCCAACTCTTGGTTCGGCGTGCCATCAGGCAGTTGGACTCATTTGTGCCCGATCACTCTCCGATTCTTGCAGGAAGCAAGCACGGAGCGTGAATGCGCAGATGACAACACGTGGTGTTGCCAGCTCCTCCGAGATTTTGAGTTCCGAATTTGAGACTCGCCGTTCGCTAGGCTGGAGCCGTATCCTACTACGCCGGAGGCGACCGGAGCTTCCCGGAGGCAGGGATGGCAGGGGTACTGGGGGGTGTCTTAACCTTGGGGGTGAAGCCCTTTGGGCATGATGCTTTAGGAGGTTGGGCATTTTTGTTGGTCCTCTTTTTTTGAAACCACCCAACTGGGTGTTTGTTTGAGGTGATGTTGAAGATCGTGGGAGATGTAGAATCGTACATGTGCACCATTCACTAAGTCACTAGGATGGTGGAACAAACAATATTTCAATCCCAAGCTAACCCCCGCCAAAACAAGGAAGTGGTTTGCCTTGTGGACCTTTAATCCAACCTCACAACGATGCCGAGCCTTACAAGGCAGTTTAAGGTGCTTGCCTGAATTTACTGGAGGTTTGACGATATGGGTCGCGACAAATGCTGGGTCCCGATCTCCTTTCTCAGAGCGACGCACGTCAATTTTCATAGCTGGAATTATGTTGGGCCCAGACATGGTCCAGGTAGTTCAACACCAGCTGAAGATATGAATGATGCGGCACCAGTGGCTGTGGACCTTGTTGGGGGGGAGAGACCCTGGATAATTTCGAACTGCTCTCCCCCCAACATGGACTTTGCAAGCTGCCCCAATTGCAGACAAAGTCATGAGTGGAGACATGAGGGAAGCAGGGACATGGGAGCTAGACTAAATTAAAGGGTACAAGTCTCCAAGGAAATCCTTCCGCAGCCAGCTTCCGCATCGCTGCTGGAACTCGCCGTGGCTCCATGAAAGTGACATCCTCAAGATGACTGTCTTTAATGGTTGTTCAAAGGGCAACTGGGTCCCAAGACTAATTTTGCGAACCCAACACAAGCAACCCCAGGCTTTTTCGTGGATTGCATGTATTTGTATCCTTTAACAACCATGACAAAGCCAGCCCACTTTCCATGTTGATCTAAGGAGCTGACCATTCTTGGGGCGCCGGGGAACCCCCAGAAGACTCGGGACCCCCGCCGCACAAAAAGGGCACCCCGTTGACGGCGCCGGACTCGTTTGGAGGACTGGGGCTTCGCCCTGCGGCCCTGGAAGTCGGCCCACCTCGCCAGCGAGTCGGCGGGGAAGGGGTGACCTCGAGATCGATTCGCAGGAAGGTTCTTTGTGGGTCCAAACTAATGGAACAGGTCTGGACTTGCTGTTTTTTTTTTTGGTGGGTGTGGGTCAATTACTGTATTGGTAAAACATATACCATGCACTCGTTTGAGCAGCGCCGTAAACCCTGACAATACAAAGTAGTAAAGGGGGGTGTCCTATAGAACCCTCGCGAAAGCCAAAACGCAGGCCGCGAGAGCTTGCGAAAACTTGGCGCGAAAGTGCCTCTTCAGACGGTCCCGCCGCGACAGCCCTGCGAAAGCCGCTGAAAGGGTGCGACCGTCCGCGAAAGCGCGACAGCAATTCCAAGGGAAACCCAAATTCTCCGCGAGGGCAAGACATGGGGTCTAGGGTTTAGATGGTTTAGGCATCTCGAAAGGCTTCGCGAAAGCAAGTTCATACCGCCTACACCAGATTCCGCGCGGCTCATTTTTTATGAAAGCTGCCTGAAAGGAAGGCGGTGCAAGTCCGGAAACCAAGTGATCGTCTTTTGGGGAGAGGCGAAATGGCTGGTGGCGACCGGTTCTTGCACTGTACCCTAAGCATTTTTTTTGGGGTCCGCAAACTCGGCCGCCGGCTTCAGCCTTCACCGACACGGGCGCTTAAGCTTTAAGCTAACCTGGCCCCCTGCAGTGAATCTCCCCCCAGGACAACTTCTGCCCAGCATCCCTCCCCATGGGGTGAGTGAAATGGATATGGGGGTGCAGGCAACCACCTGCCTCAGCAACAGCACCACCACCTCCAACACAAACACCAGCCCCACCGTTGGAACAGGGACGTTTGCATCACTTCGAGCTTGTGGTAATACTTAATGGCATCTCCGCACTTCAAGCAGGTCAAGCTTTTTCCTTCCTCAACCCATTGATGCCCAACATGGCTCTCCGCAAGGGCCTGCTTGTAAAAGGTTTGCTTTGTGAGCCTGGCTGGGGCGCTTCCAGCCTTTTCCTTGGGCCATTTCTGCTCAAGCCAAAACCTCACCCTTGGCAACAACCAAGCATTCAACCTCCAAGCCCTTCCGCAAATCCACTGGTTGGCGGCAGCCTTCTGCGTGGGTTCAACGCTAGCTGCCCTTTCATCAGCAAGTGTGTCTGCAAAGGAGTTCGCCCACCAACCTTGGAAGAAAACGGAAGCCCCCCCTGCATTTCACCATATTTCACCACAAGCGGCAGTGGATGTTTTGTCTGGAGGTCATATTTGTCGCCTTAACAAACCATGGTCTCCAAATCCGATCTCAGCAGCTGCCGGATCGAATCGGACGCTTTGCCCCCATTGGTTTTCGAGCGTCAACATTGTTGTCTCCAAAACGGGGGACACCCAAAAAATGCAAAACACCTCTTGAAACCGACTTCTGGAAATATATGTCCATCAAAACGCGAGACACATGTCAGACCTCAAGTCGGCAGACTGATTATGGCGGGGGGCAGGTGATCATCCACGGTACCCAGGGCTTGGTCATGGGCCTGGCCTACTTCGACGATGCAGACACCTCAGACCTTGGCCGGGGGTCGAGAAGCTCAGATTTGACCAATAGCCGTACCATGCTCGAGCCTGGCGGGGCTACTTGGGTAAGGATGCTTCAGATCACAAGACTCTAAGAGTTGTGCTCCATGTTGCCTCAACCGTTTACTTGTGCGCAGAAGGAAGCCCAGCACTCGGGTGAGCTCACGCCCTGAGGTTGCCGGCATTCAGCGAAAGGCGCGGCTTTTTGCAGTCTGGACCCCTTTAGGGGATTTCAATCAAAGTGTCTGAGACCCCAACATGATTTCCAGGGGCCTAGTTTTTTTTGTGAAACGGGGGCCATCCAACGGCGAACAAATGCTTTGTCCAGATCCTTTCAAATTATGACGACCCTCCGGGCTTTCTGGGGAATGGTCATCGTTAAAGTGTTTGCTTCCTACTCCGTAGCTTTGCTTTCAGATGGACCCTCTCCACATATTCCTGGGCTGCCCTTTGGTTTATCCTGTTTGTGTCAAGCTAAGTTGCCTCTTTAATCGCCGGCGTTCTTTGCTATAGGATGCTATTCCCCCCCAAAGCTCCCCCCTCAAAAGAACGGGGCGTTCCTTCGGCCACCGAGGCGGTTCCTCTTTTGGGTTTTGCCTGTGTGGCTTTGTTAGGCCGAGTACGCCATGGGCTTCGTGAAGTCCCACGAGGCCCGCTTGTTGGATTCATCGGGCGTTGCGGTGGGAAAGTGAAAAAGAAACGCCTGGGTCTGGGTCAAAACCTAGATACCCCGTTTTTGGGGTAGCCCCTCAGTTTGGTCCATTCTAATAGGGAATCTGGGGGTAATAGGGGTCCAATTCGATTGATGTAGGGCCCTCGTTAACAGCCAGGTTTTGAGACCGGGTTCCAAATATTGGTTTGTGGGGCGTCCAATGGGGTCAGTCTTCCATTGGGTGGAAAGGGTACAAACTCCAAAGATCCGCACACACATATAATTTGTCAGTAACCCCTACTGCTGAAAGAATTCTATAGGAACAACATGGAACAACCAGTAATGATTCACTGGGCTTTCTTCATATTTGGTTCAGGGTGTTTATTCATCCACAGTCAGATCTCCTGTTGGAAAGGACGCGTGCCCAACTGAGTTTCCTTGAAGGCATTTTTCTATGCGAGAAGCATGGGCGAACCTGTCGAAGGATCGCTGACAAAAAGGGACGACTCTGCCCCAAGTTTTCCGCAACAGGGGGACAGCTCAACCAGTGCTCCCCATGTCCTTTTGCTCGAAAGACACTACTTGGGATTGCCGAGGCTGGTTGTGGACCCCATGGCCCACGAACCACCGACAGATTCGGAGGCTTTGATCGTGGCTTCACTTCAACGGACAACATGACCTAGTATAATTTTTGCAAAATCTTCAAAGCCCATCGGTTTTCAGGTTGATATTTTGGCGCAATCCGGTTTGCTGTGGAATCCCTAGATTCTAGGCCTTAGATATACATACATATTACATTATATAGTTTATACATAATATATGTCTATATATATACACATACGTGTAACTTGCATATATATATATATACATGTATCAGTTGCTTGAATGGCGTGTCGCCAAAAGTAGAGGCTGCTTTGGGAAATGGAGCCTGGCCATGCCTTCAAAACCGCTGGTCTCACGACAACTTCTCTGCTTGTGGCCAGCGCGTTGTTTCGGGGGGGGGGGAAACGGCCAAACTGCCGGTTTGACATGGGTTAGTCTTTGTTTGGAGTTGGTACCCTTTTGTGTGGTGGCCTTGAAGGGAAACCAGGAGGAAAACTGAAGCCATTTCGGAGGTCCCCGCTACATACTCTCATGGCTTAGTTGGATGCATGAATCTCGCTTCACCGGCAAGGGCACGGTGCGGATCAATCTGCATCACTCGCACTTCCCCAACTACACGGAGATCAGGACCCAACTTTGCAATTGCCAGTCATTGGCATTGCCCCTCGCAGTCAAGCCGTGCCATACTCCAACCCAGATGCCTTTTTGGTTGGACCTTTCAGTATCGTTGCCCTGTAACTTGAGGGGAAATGGGTCGAACTCGCTTTTTGCGCAGGGGGGCAATAGCCACACAGGTTATGTTGTTCTTGAATCGGCTTCATTCATTTCAACTAAAGGTTGATCCAAAATCAAAGAACGGACCAATGCCCTTGACGCTGCTATGCTCGGAGTCACGCCTGGTTGATTGTCAGGCAGCCCTTAATGAGGTTTGAGGGATCAGTAAACTTGGGCGATTTTAGTCTTGATTGATCTGGTAACGAGCTCACTTGGGAGAAAAGCCCAGAAAAGCAACGCACCATGATGAAGATCCTCGGCTTCCTTATTTGTCCAGCTTGTGACCAGCAATATGTGTGTGTCTCTTTTTACGGGACCCCCAAAATTGGGTTTTTGTGTTGGTTTCCTTGCAGAACCAACCCAAAAAGGGGGTTCCAACTCCCAACACAGACGAGCCTCCCATATTTTACCCCTTCGATTGTGAGGAAGCTGCAGGTTCTCTCCACTCGGGCGCCTATTCAGAAGTACCAGGCCAGGGTATACCAGACATGCGATTCACGAAAGTTTATCTTATCTTGCTGGTGCTCAGAGGGGAATGACCGAGTCCGGGTTCTGGGAATGATTCCCTTAAAGAAAACCATAGGGGACGGTTTGTAGGGGTCATTCCCTCATTCCCTGCTGAGAACCATCAAGTTATAGTTTTGAGGGTCCTGTGTTTGGGGTGGAAAGGGAAGCCAAAAGGAAAACCGAAGCTATTTTGGGGAGTCCGATTCCTGAAACAGACATCCAAATTGGTATCTTGTAGCTTGTTTTTCAGGTCTCTGTTTGTAACCTGACTTCCACCAATTGGTATCTTGTAGCTTGTTTTCAGGTCTCGAGGAGAGAGTGAGCACATGAACAGCTAAGATTCTGGCATTTGTGGGCCTGGTCCTCCCTCAATTCCTTCTCTTTTTCTTCCATGAGAAGATGGGAGATAACTGTCCTAAATTGAGTCCAGATTAAGGGATGCCCGTATCTCTTTATTATCTCTCCCCCATCTCCTTTCTCCAAAAAGAAGATGGACAGGATCTTCTATCCCATTCCTAATTTCTCACATCACCAGTTAATCAGATTGCGAGCTCATTGGTGGTTTGGATTGGTGGTTTGGTGGTCTGCCGGAGGGGCTTCCCATTTACCTCCACAAGATCCAGGGGTTCCGCACCACCAATCCACCCAACCAATTAGCAGAATCGAAGCTGATGTATTTAGCTGCCCCAAAAAAGACGCCTGCGCTGTACTTGGCTGTGGGTCAAAAAATATGTACCCCAAGTGGCTTGCCCTGGTAAGTGGAGACATGGACGTTTTCTGCGGTCCAGTTCCTGGTACCCTTTCCGACATCTCGGGCCATGGCCACGGCTCTCAGGTGCTTCAGGCGCAGAAGGCCAGAGTTTGGGTGGGTCTTTTCGTATGGGAACCCGCTTTTTCTGGGTGGCTCCCTGCCATCCGGTTCCCTAGCTTCTTTGCTTTTTTGCATTTTTTTAGTGAGGATGGCCATTTAACCTACTAAAACGGGGGGTCTGAGGACAGCGCAGGTGTGGAAACCCGCTTTTTGTATGGTTTTTAAGGGGGGGGGGGACCGAAAGGAAAACCACCATTGGTCAAAGTCACCTAAAAGAAGACACGCCCATTTGGTTTTGGGCATGTTTTGTGTGATATTTGAGGGGATCCCCTTTCAAGTCAGAAAGTAGTCTAAGTGGTCGTGCAGATGGAAGAGTTCACTTTCCATTGCACTGGTGCAGCGAGTGGTCCGCCGGATTGAAATCCATCGATGGCGTCCTCAAGGGGTTTGTTTGCTTGTTGTGGCTATTGTTTGTGTTTAGCAGGTGCGGGGGTTGATTTACTTTGCTTGTTTGGAGAACATCTAGGAAACGATTTGGATGCGGGTTTTGTGGATCCACCCCTGTAGGTGGCAAAAGACAAAAAGAGTACTAAAAAAGAACCTGCGGGGCGGGACAGCTGGAATCCACAAAAAGCACATCCAAATTGTTTTCTAGAGAACGCACATGCACGCCTAAATGGAAGGTAGGCATAGAATAGTTCGTTCGCGGCAGGACTGGGGCGACGGCATGGTCGACCTGGGGAGGTATGGTCGCACAGTTCTGGACGGGATGTGAAGAATATGCAGAAGCTGCGCTACGCTGTTGCCCCCTTTGTTCGACTGTTTTTGGGGAAGGGTTCCGATTCCTTTAAATCTCAAACAACCAAAAAAAAGGATGTTGTTGTGTTTCCCCATGGCCACTGGGCATCGGAGACTAAGAATCTCGAGGGCCGTGAATTCCGAGGAGTAATGTTGGCCACCGAAAGTCCGTCTTGAGACACTTGGATTCTTTGGGGGGATGTTTATCCACACCTCCCAGAAGGATCTGCAACCTTCAGTTTGCTTATTTTTGTGTCAAGCTCACTCCTCGCGTCTCATGAGAAAGGATGCCCTTACATTGGCTGCTGATTTTGTGTATCTAGCCCAATCCCGGAGACTTTTTCTGCGGTTAAAATGACCTGCCCGCTGAAGCCAGTTTGTTTCCATGACCAAAGCTGGAGCAAGCCCAATGAAATTTCTCTGCGTGCGCCGAAAGATGTTTAGTGACCGAATCTTACCTTTTAGTTGCCGAAGCTGACCGTTGAGTTGCCGAAGCTGACCGTTACCTGCAAGGAAACTGGGCTTTCAATGGAAGCCCCGCCACCTCCATTGGACATCCCAGAGTTGTTCGGGACCCGGTCTCAAAACCTGGCTCTTAAATCGGGCCCTAAATGAATGGAATTGGAGCCTCTGGGCATGGCCAAAACTGGAGCTCCCAAATTAAGGGTCCCGACGGTTTTTGGGCCCTCCAAATGGGTTGTCGTTGAGGGCTCTTGAGGGGTCGGGGTTCTTTATTGGAGGGTCCTGGGGGCTGCATTGGAGGGGTCATGACCCTTAGGGCTAGCAATGTCCGTCCGATAGGAGAACGAGGAGAAGGACCGCCTCGAGAAGTTCGTGGGCGTGCACCCTGAGCACAAGAAGAACAGGACTTGACTACTGGCCCGTGGCCCATGCTTTGCGTGAATGTAGGGTGGCTCGTTTTTTGCTTTTTAGGGGAACCCTTTTTGAGTGGTTTTGAAAGGAAACCAAAAGGAAAACACCCATTTTGATGGATCCTCTAAGACACACCCACATAGGGGGCTAAAAACTTCATGGTCTACCAGTCGGATCATCTCCAAACGATACAGTCACAGACACCCCCCCCCCCAAATCCGATGCACGTCAAGCTGAACCAACAAGGGCCTACCGACCGATACCCTGCGAATACTGTCCGTTGCTCTTGAGAAGGCCAGCATCCGATGTGTGAGAGCGCGCCAAGGCTGGGGATTGATATTGGAACTGGTCAAGGATGAGCCTGGGGAGTCCTGATGTTGACACGTTTGCACATTAATTGTATATTTAAGACATGCACATCTGACACATGTCTGATATATGTGTGTCCAAATTGTACGAAGCAATGTCAACTTTCAGCACTCGGCAAGGGAACACGCCTGCAATACACCCATCGGCGCGTCGAGCTTGAGAAGCTGGGGAAGCGAATTCAAACGATGCGCAGGACGACTTTGTGGCGGAAAGCGGCCGACTTCGTTGACAAGCTGTGAGCCACCGGCGTCATGACTTCAATCACGACTTCGATCACCTTCCGAGTTTCGACAGGCCGCCCTTGAGGCTTTTTCGTTGGAACCAGCTTATGAGAATATCTTAGTTTTCCCTTGTTCGATTTCTATAAAGGGAATCTATCACTATACTGAAACTATGCTTATTCATCTCAGGGTTATTTGGTATTTTTGCAATTATTAGGTTATACAAGCCTTCTTGGGAGCTCTTGTGTCCAAAGACACGCTTGTAAAACTAACGTTTAAGCTCTGACTTGTTAATCGACTTGGGCAGCAGTTGTATGTCTCATGTGATCCGATGTGTTTCTCAGACTGCACTGATTGGGTAGCCAACCCAGCCAAGCAACCAACCAACCAAACAAGCAAGCAACCAACCAACCAACCAACCAGCCAACCAAGCAACTCGCCAGCCAGCAAACCAACCGCCAACCAACCAACCAACCAACCAACCAACCAACCAACCAACCAACCAACCAACCAACCAACCAACCAACCAACCAACCAACCAACCAACCAACCCAACCAACCAACCAACCAACCAACCAACCAACCAACCAACCAACCAACCAACCAACCAACCAACCAACCAAACCAACCAACCAACCAACCAACCAACCAACCAACCAACCAACCAACCAACCAACCAACCAACCAACCAACCAACCAACCAACCAACCAACCAACCAACCAACCAACCAACCAACCAACCAACCAACCAACCAACCCGCCAACCCGCCAGCCAGCAAACCAACCAACCAAGCAGCCTGATTTTCACGGCCAAAGACCCCAACCAACTTCCCCGAGAACTTCCCGCACCGGGCAACGGCCAGCCCCAGGAAGCCGCTAGGTACGGCTTCAACGAAGCGCAGGTGCTGCTCAAGGCTTCTTGACTCGGCGCTCCGAATCGCTCGGAGGTCTTGGGATATTCTTCGGCGAAAATGGGGGGGGGGGGAGCACACGAGCCAGATCAAGATGAACGACCGAAAAGGCACATGTGTCGTTTTGCTTTTTTTGTTTTTCCCGGAATCGGACCCCTCCCCTCCAGAGACTGAGGGTTTTCCTCTTGATTTGTTGCTTAAAGCTCGTGTGCTTTAGGCGCAAACTCCATTTGTGGCGCCACTTTTGGGATTCCGTGTTCATTTGCAGGAGACTCACCACATCGCCTGAAGGAGTGTTTGCTGGGGCGCACGATGCATATTGCATATTGCCGGCGCATGCACCTGAAGCCTGTATTCAACGGTTTTGGTGGCAGGGCATGGTGTGTCTCAAAACGAGGGGACTTGGTTCAACACAGCACGATAGAGTATTTATGCACAGAGAATCTCCAGGAAGTGCGGTGCTTATCGAATACAAGACTTATAGCTTTCTAGATCTCCTGACTCCCGTTTTTCTGATTCGGTTTTTTCTTTGCATGACCAGACTCTACATGGCACCAGTTTTGAAACGGAAAAAGCCTTTATGCCCATCCCAGCGTCTTTCGCAGGTCACAGAGGCTTCCCCTAGCACGAGGCGCAGATTCGAGTTGGATGTGAAGTGGGCTTGTCTGAAAATAGCAGCACCCCCCAACTTGCCTGCCTTGTCTCCCCGTCCCAAAGTCCCAAAAAAGCAGTGGTACAAAGGGGTGCTGCTACGGATCCCCTTGGCTTCAAAGGGAAGCCAATTTAGCCACCTGGAAGACTCCCGAATTTTGCGGAACCCGCTGGCATCCATGAGCATCCTCCCTTCTTTGGCCAATACTTCAAGGAAATTGCCCAGGGATTGGCTGCCAGGTTCCGGACCACCCGACTCGGGGCAGCGTGGTGCTCGGATCCGGGCAACCGGGGAACTGAGGGTGCCGGGATGCGTCTCCATTTGGGGAAGCCCTGTGCCTGGGTTTCACCACGGACTTCCTTTGAAACAAGTATTTGTTTGAGGGGTATGTTGGGGGGGTTCCAAAAAATGGAGAGGCCGAAGGGAAGCTGAGGGGATACCAATTTGCTTATGTCGGATGGGTTTTCACCAGCTGCTTGAGGTGTCCTGGCTCATCGGCAACGACTTGGAGCCGGAGACTCTGTGCTGAGTTGGGTTGGTTGGGCTGGGTGGTTGCGGGTGGTTGGTGATTGGGCGGTAGGTGGTTGGGTGATTCAGTGATTGGGTGGTTGGGTTGTTAGGTGATTGAGTGGGTGAGTGGACCGGATCCCGATTTGCTTTCTTTGTGTCAGATGGTTGTTAAAACCAACAAAAAAACACGCGCACAGTGGTTTCCATGCGGGTGGCAAGCAACTGCCTAGCTGTTGCTCATCAGTTTCCCTCACCGCCCGCCTTTCTGCAGTGGCGCACGTTTTGTTGGGCCTGAACCAGATGGGTAGATGGTTCAGAGAGCTGCGCCTTCCGACCAGGGAGCTGCTTTCAAGGTGATTCTGAATGACTGCCGATCGCCGCCGCCCCCCAATATATTATATATATATATATATATAAATACATATATAGAGAAGACACCTGTTGGTCATTGGGTGCGTCTTTTTTAGCAATCGGCCACCCCACAAGTTGGGTGGGTTTTCATGTTGATGTCCCTTTAAAACCACCATGGACGAGCGAGCCACTCATTGGGATCGCCGTGGGTGGGTTGTGCTTTTTGCTTTGTGCTAAGGCTGAATGCCCGTGCTTTATAGGTTAACCAAGCGTTAGTTATGACTTACTTGTGGCAAATCAGCTTTCAAAGGGTCCAACATGGCTGGGTTCATACTCACTTCTTGAGTTTCTGGAAACTTCTAACTTCTTGAGACCATTCTAGTGGCAACCTGTGGCAAACAAGTTCCGACTTGTTTGACTCGGAAGTGAACCTCTGGGCTGGGCGTTCGAATCGCGCGGCTTTCCGACTCGCCCAGTTTCCCAGCAGACCGGGGCTTTGCGCTGAGACCCTGGAACCAGGCAGGAAACATGAGCGAGCGAGACCTGGGGTGCTGGCTCCTTTGCGTAGAGGGGGATGTATCTAGGAATGGTCATGTGGGTGTGTCTACCTTTGAGGGCATCTCCAGCTACCTTGGGATTCCCTGCTGTTGCTTTTTTTTTCTTTTTTTTTCTTTTTTTTCGGGGATGGTCATGTGGGTGTGTCTATTTTTGAGGGCGGAAAGTGTATCCCCCACTTGTTTGGTGGGGTTCAAAGGAAATCAGCAGGAAAACCGAAGCCATTTTCGGAGGGGTCCCTAACAAAAGACACTCCCATGTGTTCTGAAGGGACTTTAGACAGCCATGACCATGGCCCGGAGTTGCACTGTCATATGTCCCTATTTGCTCCTGATCCACTAAAATGGAACTAATCAGGGGGTCCCTGGTAAAGGACACTTGTTTTCCAGGACCCCCGTGTGAGGTCCCATATTTTGTGGATAGGGTAGTTGGGCCAATGTTGAGGGATGTTGAGGGCGATGTTTCCAGGCATACAAGACCCTGAAAGCGAGAAGGCTCCCTGGCGCCCGCGAAGTTGAACGGTTGGGATTTCAACATTAACGGAAAGAACTAGAAAAACATGTGTGTGTGTGTGTGGGTGGGTGTGTTTGTGTGTTTGTGTGTGTGTGTGTCTCTGTGTCTCTGTGTCTGCGTGTGTAGAGGACCCTTCTTTGGAGTCAACGTTGCCTGAAAAACGACCCCCCAATTCTAGGGGTTGATTCCCCATTATTTTCAACCATCGTTCTTTCCAAAAACCGGCCGCTCTCCCTAATTTCCGGAGGTTTTCTAGAAGGATCCCTGGAAAGAATGGAAATGGAAGGTACCCCTTGACCAAGGGTGATGTCCTACCCGTTGTTCTTTGTGGGCTCTCTCTGGGCTTGCTGTTCGCACGGGCGGCATGCCGGCCAGCTGTTTTGGCACAGGTCCGGTTCGAAAATGCCGACGTCAGCATCCAGGGAGAACGTGCACAGGCGCGTGGCTTTCAGGTTTCACCGGGCCTTCTGAAACCCAACTGTTCCTTGATCCTCCATGCTGAAAATCCATTGATTCCAAGAAGGACCTTGGTTTTCAGGGTCCTTGGAAGACCAAGGGTTGTGCAGATTCCCACTCTTGTTGCGTATTCCACCTTGTTTTTTCTTCCGTTCTTCCAGGTTTCGGGTATAGCACATTGCTGCATCCTGGGTTGGGACACGAGAAGATACGCATGCCTGAGTTCCCGCTGTTCTTGTCCAGTTACGTGGTTTCCCAATACGAATGAACTACGCTCAAGAGGCCTTGAGAGGAAAACTGGCAATTGCAGGCCATGGGCCGGGCTCTCAGCATCCGGACTCAGTTGTATTGGAGTTTCTGGGCACGTTTGCAAACGGGGGAGAGAGACTGACAGAGAGAGAGCGAGAGAGAGAGAGAGAAAGAAAGAGAGCGGGTTCTGGTAGACTGTTGGTTCTCCTTCCTTCTTGGTTTGCTAGCCGACTGCGTTTTCCCCCCAACGGCGCCAGGGTCTTTGTACCACTCTTGCTTCAAGCATGGCATCTAGGGGTTGGATTGACCCAGCTTGGACAACTGTACGACCAGCCTGCCTGCAGCAAGCTGTTGGTGCACCTTCGCTGAACATGCACGTTCTGGCGTCCAAAGCAGCACATGTCGCATGCGGTGAAGCTGCAAGCCAGGTGAACCTGCGAGTCTGCGAGAGCTTGAACTGCCAATGTTCAATTTCTCCAAAAAACAACAACAACGGGTAGTCGGCAGTTTTCCCCTTTTGCCCTTTTGGCACCCAACTGGTTTGGCACGTGCCGCTTCTGTGTTGGTTTGTTTCTGTTGGGGGGGAGTGTGTCGCCTATTTTCGTCCGCCTGAGGCAGCATGTTCTTGCTGGATGACCCCGGCAACGAGCGGGAGCTTCAATACGTGTTCTGCCCTTTCCTCGGATCAAGTGAGCCACAATCAAAACCCGGGTAGATGAAGGTTAGTAAGGGCCAGTCCCAGCCGGAAATAGTTGCGGCCGCCTTCATATTTCTTTAGATGGTTCCGGGTAGACCATTTTTAATGCCGGGTTTTGATTGTGACTCAAGTGTTGTCGAATTGGTGGTTTGGAGCGTTGAATCGCCGATTTGGAGGTGGCGAGGCGGGTGGGAAGGTTCGTTGACCCTCGAAAAAGGGGTTGAACGCCGGGAAACACCCATCCAACCAAGTTGCCTGAGGTTGCTCAAGCACAGACCAGCTCGGCAGGTAAGCTCACGGATTGGAAGGGGGGAACGATCCCACCGATGAAGGTTCCTGGGATGCCGGAACTCCAGTTGGGGGTGGCGTTTTTTAAAGGGACCCCCCAAACCATAAAGAAAAGACACACACACACACACCAAATTATATGTAGTTGGCTTAGAAGGGCAACCTCCAGTTTCCGTTCAACGTCAACAGAATTGCGGGCCCTCGCGGTAGAATTGTCCCTTGGCTCCACGAACAGGTGCCAACCACTGCATATAATCATATGAGCCACGGACAAAACACACGAAGACCACTTTATCAAGGCGGGGTACGTTTTTGCATAACACATGCCAAAACCATGGAAAACGATAAGGTCTCCCCCAAAAACGATAACCCTTAGCTAACACACGGCTCTATAATAACCCCTGCAGTTGCAACTTAGCTAGGGTGGGACCCTTGCGTGGCCACCGTACAACGAGAAGGCGAGTCGCCACTTTCGAGCTGGAGCTGCCAAGGTGTGCTTCGTAAATACGACGCTTGTACTGAGAAGTTGCGATTTTCGAGCTGGAGCTGCGGAAGTGTACTTCGCGCACTGGACTTGCACGACAAAGTTGCGATTTTCGAGCTGGAGATGCGGAAGTGTACTTCGCTTACTAGACTTGTACTACAAAGTTGCGATTTTCGAGCTGGAGCTGCGGAAGTGTACTTCGCGTACTAGACTTGTACTACAAAGTTTCGATTTTCGAGCGGGAGCTGCGGAAGTGTACTTCGCGCACACACTTGCACTACCAACTTGCGATTTTCCAGATGCGGAAGTGTACTTTGCGTACTAGGATTGCACTACAAAGTTGCGATTTTCGAGCTGGAGCTGCGGAAGTGTACTTCGCGTACTAGACTTGTACTACACAGTTGCGATTTTCGAGCTGGAGCTGCGGAAGCGTACTTCGCGTACTAGACTTGTACTACAAAGTTGCGATTTTCGAGCTGGAGATGCGGAAGTGTACTTCGCGTACTAGACTTGTACTACAAAGTTGCGATTTTCGAGCTGGAGATGCGGAAGTGTACTTCGCGTACTAGACTTGTACTACAAAGTTGCGATTTTCGAGCTGGAGCTGCGGAGCGGAAGTGTACTTCGCGTACTAGACTTGTACTACAAAGTTGCGATTTTCGAGCTGGAGCTGCGGAAGTGTACTTCGCGTACTAGACTTGTACTACAAAGTTGCGATTTTCGAGCTGGAGATGCGGAAGTGTACTTCGCGTACTAGACTTGTACTACAAAGTTGCGATTTTCGAGCTGGAGCTGCGGAAGTGTACTTCGCGTACTAGACTTGTGCTACAAAGTTGCGATTTTCGAGCTGGAGATGCGGAAGTGTACTTCGCGTACTAGACTTGTACTACAAAGTTGCGCTTTTCGAGCTGGAGATGTAGAAGTGCGCTTCGCGTACTAGACTTGTACTACAAAGTTGCGATTTTCGAGCTGGAGATGTAGAAGTGCGCTTGCGTACTAGACTTGTACTACAAAGTTGCGATTTTCGAGCTGGAGCTGCGGAAGTGTACTTCGCGTACTAGACTTGTACTACAAAGTTGCGATTTTCGAGCTGGAGCTGCGGAAGTGTACTTCGCGTACTAGACTTGTGCTACAAAGTTGCGATTTTCGAGCTGGAGATGCGGAAGTGTACTTCGCTCGCGTACTAGGCTTGTACTACAAAGTTGCAATTTTCGAGCTGGAGCTGCGGAAGTGTACTTCGCGTACTAGACTTGCGCTACAAAGTTTCGCTTTTCGAGCTGGAGCTGCAGAAGTGTACTTCGCGTACTAGACTTGTACTGCACAGTTGCGATTTTCGAGCTGGAGCGCTGTGGAAGTGTACTTCCCGTGCTAGACTTGTACGACAAAGTTGCGATTTTCGAGCTGGAGCTGCGGAAGTTTACTTCGCGTACTAGACTTGTACTACAAAGTTGCGACTTTCGAGCTGGAGCTGCGGAAGTGCACTTCGTGAACTAGACTTGTACTACAAAGATGCGATTTTCGATCTGGAGCTGCGGAAGTGTACTTTGCGTACTAGACTTGCACTACAAAGTTGCGATTTTCGTGCTGGAGATGCGGAAGCGTACTTCGCTTACTAGACTTGTGCTACAAAGTTGCGATTTTCGAGCTGGAGCTGCGGAAGTGTACTTCGTACTACAAAGTTGCGATTTTCGAGCTGGAGCTGCGGAAGTGTATTTCGCGTACTAGACTTGTACTAGAAAGTTGCGATTTTCGAGTTGGAGATGTGGAAGTGTACTTCTCGTACTATAGACTTGTACTACACAGTTGCGATTTCCGAGCTGGAGATGCGGAAGTGTACTTCGCGTACTAGAATTGCACTACAAAGTTGGGATTTTCGAGCCGGATCTGCCAAAGTTCGAAAACACTGTAAAACGATAAGGTCTCCCCCAAAAACGATAACGTTCAAAAAAGTACTAGGGCCAAGTAAAGTGTTTCGTCCGCTCTTCATATAAAAGCATGGTCAAGAGATCGGTTGCTTTACTTGACCACAACCATAGCCACGCCGTAGGCCAAGGAGTTTTGACGACCCGCATGGACCCCCAAATGCCGAGGCTATACCCGCGATTTCGACGGCCGCCTTCGCGTCGCACTGCCGGCATGCGGCCACGCTGCGCAGAGAAAACTGTCCTGTTGGGTTGGGAAGCTTTCCACTTGTTGTAGATTTCGTGTTCATCTTAGATAAAGCATGAACTTGTTCAACTGTTTGTAGGTTTCGTCCAAATTTTCATAAGGCATCCAGTCGAAGGCTTGAACTTGTTGGCAACGTTGAAGTGCGCAGGGTGAGCAAATGAGCAGGGCATGGCCATCTCGCAACTAGAGTATCGCTAGTGGGTGGTCCTCTAGCAGATTTTAGTCTATTTTCAGCCGCTCATATGGTTACCCACGTTTGCATGTGTCTCCGTGTCAAGAGCCACTCTTGTTTATCACGACAAGGTTCAACTTGCAAAATGCTACAGACGTCCCCCTTAAGCATGGCATGAACTTGCGGCATGGGCCTCATGGCGGTAGCCAGGAAGTGGCCCATTTGGCTTTGCCCGATGGCGCTTCCTACAGAAGACCCTTAGCTCGAGTTGGCAAGGTTTTGGGAGGGCGCTGTGATGGATGTTTTGCAGGGTACTGCACCTGGGGTGCTTTCTGGTAATGCAAATGGAAGCCACCCACGTGCAGGTACCCATTTGAGACAGGCTCATGGCTTTTGGCAAAGGCCTCAACGACTTGGGATTTTCAGATTAGTGAGGCGACGATACACAGATGAACGAAGCGCACATCTAGAAGTTTTGGAATCTTCCGGGATTGGAATCTCTCAAGTTGCTTTCCTGCTGGCTTGAATACAAACCGCCATCCCCAAAAGGGGCGTGTTGACCCCGTTAAGAAGTTGATTTTGGTTCATCCACAATTTTACGTCACCCGATGCGACTCTCTTGGGTTTGACTCTTGAGTTCAACCCTTGCTGAGAAAAACCACAGAAGGGCGAGATGAGTTGAGATTGGTTTGGAGAACCCCTCACTTCCATAGCTGCTGGACTTGATCCTTTTGGACCATTTAACTTGCTGGTGCTCAGTTTTAGGAAAACAAGGGATGGTTTATCAGGGATATATCCTCATTCCCTGCTGGGCACCGGCAAGCGAAGTGGGAAACATGCTAGCCTCTTCGCCTGGGCAACCCTGGCAACCGATCGGCAGTATCCTTCAGATTCAGATTCATTGGTGCCCTGGTCATTGTGGTTGAGAATCGATGGCACTGGTTTCAGTGTGGATGTAATAATATACCCTGGGGTTCAAACCACCATGAAAACAATGTGGTTCATATCACCACTATGATTTATCTACGGATCATATTAATCCAAGTTGGGTCAACCATTCTTTTCATGGGGGTATTTCCATGAATGTACCAGAGGTAAGTAATGCATGAATTTGTCCGTAAGGGACAACCTGAGGGCTTGATTTATTTGTTTTCCTTTGGATGGTTTTAGGGGGTCCTCGGAATCCGTTAAAATGGTCCAGAAGAACAAACAATATACCAAGAACCAGATTGGGAACATCTGCAATGTTTTTTAGTGGTTTCCGAGGACCCTGTTTTAGAGGGACCGAACTCAGAAAGCCGCTTGATTGGTGGTTTCGGGCCCCTTGTTGAAGGGTCAATGAGAAATCCCCAGAACGCCTCCAAACCGCCGATTCGGCTCCAAACCGAAATTTCGTGGGAAGCTGAGTAACCTGATTTCCCTTTCTTGCTTGTGCTCAGTAGGGAATGACCCAGGGGCCATAAGGGATGCTTTATAGGGGTCGTTCCCTCATTCCCTGCTGAGAACCAGCAAGCTTTTCATCCCTTGAGATGCCCAGATTTCAATCTCCGAGGTATGTGGGAAAAAATGGAGGGCGGTGCGGTTGGAGCGGCCCGGGCCCCACTTTTTCTTGCGCGAAAGGCGTCCGTTGGAAAACAAATGGACGTGGGAAACGCTCCCCCCCCCCAAAAAAAAAAAGAGCTTTCGTTTTGGTGTCCCTCAAGCAACCAAAAGAAATGCCCTCAAAACAAGACGCACCAAACACGGTTCTGCTGTCAAAAGTGGGTGCTCCACTTCAATCATCAGTTTTTTTTCTGGCGGCAAGTTGCTCAATCCGATTCGTGGGT